GCCAGGAGAGGGCAGCTGAACTGAAAAAGAGGTCAAGGTGTGTGGAAATAAAGTCAAGAAACCAATAGTTTTGAAGGTTTGAAGAGGGTCTTTTTTTTTTTTTTTTAAGATTTTATTTATTTGACAGGCAGAGACCACAAGTAGGCAGAGAGGCTGGTAGAGAGAGAGGAGGGGAAGCAGGCTCCCTGAACAGGGTCTCTTGAGGGGAGGGTATGATTTGAGAAGACAGTGAGTTGAGGTCTAGGGATTTTTTTTTTTTTTTAATTTTTATTTATTTGAAAGAGAGGTGGAGGAGAAGCAGCCTCCCCATGGAGCAGGGAGCCTGACGCGGGGCTCAATCCCAGGACCCTGGGCTCAGGACCTGAGCCGAAGGCAGAGGCTTAACCGTCTGAGCCACCCAGGCTCCCCAAGGTCTAGAGATTTTAATGAGTTAGAAACAACAGGTAATGAAAAAGTCATGGAAGTCCTGTAAAATGGACATTTGTTTCTGCTTGTCCCCCATTCGTTCATTCCTCCTTCTATTAGCAGCGTCCTGATTCTGCTTTGGAAACCACCTCCATCCTCCCCCAGCTCACACAGGGCTCCTAAGATACTAACGATATTCTCTTAAGCTGGGGGATAGGAGGAACAGGAGTATTTTTTGTTCTTTAAACTGCATAGATACATTTTATCCTTTAAACATTTTATGTACTTTGTATGTACATTTCACCATTCAAATGCACAGACCTACAAAACACTTCCTTTCTCTGTGCTCCAAAGATAAGAATCTGCGTCAGGTCTGGGCAATCAGTTAACAAAGCTTGGTTCCAGTGCCTGACCCAATTGAGGCTCCCGAGACACCAGCCCAGGGCTTTGGCTGGGGCTATCAGGAATTTCTGCTGAAATTGGGAGGCTTATTTGTAGAACATATCCCTTTGCTAGCCTGAGAATAAAACTAACACAGAAGAAAGCAGAGCCAAGAGACGGAGAGTGACAGATTTCCTATATCATTTGAATACCTAGCTCCAGCCACTCCTGAAGCCAAACTATCTGGGGCTTTTCAAAGATTTTTTTTTTTCCTTTGCCAGTCTGCATTTGGTTTATGGCCTTTTAACTAAAAGGAAATGAATTTCAGTGCAATAGCCAAATAAAGAGCTCTCAATTCAACAGCCTGCGTGACCTTCTTCAATACGTAAGTCAGATCAAGTCCTCCTTCCACTCAAGACCCTGAATGTGGCCTCAAAGCAAAGGCCAACATTCTCAGGGTGGCCTATGAGACCCTCCATGGTCTGACCCTCCCCTCTCTGCTGTACGTCAACAACTCTCCATTGTCCATTCTGCCCCAGCCACGGTGGCCTCTGGGCTCTTCCACAACACACCAGGCAGATGCCTGTGAGCCTCCAGCTGGACACTCCTCCAGACATCCACTTGCTAACTCCCTCCCTCACCTCCTCCACATCTCTAAAATCTCCAGTTCTCAGGAAGGCCTATCCAAATCTTCCTCCCACAGCCAGTGATCATGAACCCCCTCCCCAACCTACTTCTTCTCCCTCCCATAGCATGTATTACATAACATAGGACATACTCACTGAGAAGTACCCACTGAGGGCAGGGGTCTTCAACTGGCTGACTCCACTCAAGTTCCCGGAACAGTGCCTGTCTCCTGGTAGGCCCTCAAATAAGTGACTGACCAATAAAATGACATGGGCCTCCAGGGAGAAGAGCTTGGTTTGCAAAGGGCAGTGGGGAGAAGGGGACACCGACCCCCATCTCCTGATCCTGATATAAGCGGAGTAGGGGACGGAAAGACACCTCCGCTCTGAAGACTTTGGGAGAAGCCATCACTGAAAAGGGCAGAAAGTAGGCGGAAGAGTTGAGTGGAGAGGTTGAGGATGTGGGAAGGGGTGTTAACCACAGCTGGGCCTAGACTGGGCTCAGTATATGAGTGTTGCGAGAGACACAGAAGCTTGGAGGCTGAGCCAGGGGAGAAGTAGCCCAGAGTGGTTTGCAGATGAAAGACAGACAAGAGTCAGGCCAAGTGGTTTATTTACATTTTAGGTGGAGATGAAGGATGTAGTGATAGAAGGCCTGGTGAGGCATGGAAAGAATTCGTCCTAGCAACCCTTGGAAGATAGGAAGGATTCTGCCATGACTCCAAGGTTTGAATGATTTTAGAAGTTAGTGGATGAAAAGCCATCATATTTGGTTGTTTCCATCTCCCGCAAGCATCACAGACACCACCCAGAAGTGTCTGCGGGGCCAAACCACGAGGCTTCCATTCTTGGCAACATCCTGGGTCCAGAGAAAGCAATTCCCCTCCGTATAATACAACAACCCTGTGCCATGAGCAGCCTGTCGAACCCTCATTCTCCAAGCCCAGAACAGACTCTGAACCAGGCATCCAGGGTCACAACTCCATTGTCCAAAAAGATGAGAAAACAGGTTTCTTTTCAAAGACAGATCACAGCACTCAGCTTTCCTCCCTGTCCTCCAATGACCCCCATGCTGCTGGGGCAAGAGAAAGAGGCCAAAGTGAAGGCTTCCTTCTACTGATCCTGACTCACCTCAGTTGAATGCTAGCTTCTCTCTACAGAAATTTCCCCACAGTCACTAGAACACACGTGCATGCCAAGATTCAAAGAAAATGTTACTTCCAGTCAGGGAAAGAAATTACATTACTTAACCTCTAAGGAAAAGTGGCTTACTATAAATCAGGCCCTTGGGAGTGATGTCATTTTGATGCTTCTTACAGCTGCAAAGAGACTTAATAAATATTCAATAATTAATAATAACAGCTTCAAGATGGTATTTCTCACAGAACTGTCCCTGTAAAGAAAGCCAGCAGTAATTAGACCTGGGCCTGACTTCCCGCCCACCAACAAGCTCTTAGTGGTACAAGGCATTTGTCCTGCCAGTATTTATTAGGAAAATGCCCATATTTCTGAGACAGGTATCTGCCAAGAGTGGATCATTAAGCCAATGTTTAAATCATTGGGGACACCTGGCTGGCTCAGTCAGAAGAGCATATAACTCCTAAACTCAGCATCATGACTTGAGCCCCACACTGGGTATAGCAATTACTAAAAATAAGGGTAACAGTAGCAATAATAATATTAATAGTAAATACAAATTTTTAAAAAATAAATAAAATAGCCATCAGCGGCAACCAGCATTCAAGATGGCTCCCATATTTATACTACCTGGTATTCATACCCTCTTCCCACTTTGTACTAGCATTGGTCTGTGTGACAAACAGAATATGGCAGAATTATGTCGCTTCCAAAATTAGCTTATACAAGAGTATAGCTTGAGTTCTGGGATCTCTTGCTCTCTTGGACCACTTGTTCTGGGGGAAAGCTAGCTGCCATGTCAAGCAGCCCAATAAAGAGGAGCTAAAGCCTGCCAACAGCCGAGTAAGTGAGCTTGGAAGCAAATCCTCCCCAAACCCAGCCTTCAGATGACCCAAGCTCTGGTCAACACCTTGACTGCCACCTCAGTAGAGACCTGAGGACAGAACCACCCAGCCTAGCTGCTCCTAGATGACACTACTGGCCCCCACACACTATTTTCAGTACTAAATTTTGGAGTAATTTGTTACACAGCCATAGATAATAAATTCACTATCCTGAGAAGGAAATCAGAAGGTTCAACTTCGGTCCCTGTCCTACATGCCTGTAGGAACAATTTCTCCGTCTAGGAGAAAGCAACAAATTATTTATCCAGTCACTCAACAATTGCTTATTGAATGCCAAATACACACAAGGTATTTCCAAGCAACACAACCCTTCATATAGTGTATCATCTGTAAAATAAAGAGAAATAATCACAAACGCCAACACACTGACCTCAAACTGCTCAATCCATTGGTTTCATTCGCTTTTTAAGTCCTTTTGCTCCTAACCCTCTACTCTCCACTCCTGGCTTTCATAAACTCTTTAAGGTACACCAAGTTCCCCTTCATATCTATCTTGAGTCCTCCGTGCACTAATACACTCATTTTTACTGTACCACATGCCCTCCAATCTATGGGGTAAAGAATTAGGTCGTCTGATCCCATTTAACATTGGGATTAGGAGGAATTCATTTAGTATTTTACCAGGAAGAGGGAATCCTGATCACAAATTAAAACCAATTCTAATTTCTGCAATTAGTGAGTAGGTGGCCGCAGCAGGGCTGACAGAATCACAGCTCAAGCTCTGGTCACAGCTGAAATGGGTGGTGGGGGGGGTGGATGCCGCCCCTTAACCCTTCGGGGGACTCTGCGGTCTCTCAAAGCAACACCAGAATTATGCTGCTCTAAGAAAATGAGGAGCCTCCTCCGGCACAAAGAAGGTCAAAGGGCGAGCTTTCTTCCCATCAACCACAAAACGGGCCTCTGCCAAAGCTAACCAGTGTGGAGGGCCGTCAGAGGTGAACCGAGCCCCAGACGGAAAACCACAGCGAGACTCTCCCCTCGCCGGCTGGGGGTCTGAGTCAGGTGACTCCGCAGGGCACACAGCAAACCTAAACAAAGATCACTCCCCACATGACAGAGCGTGGGGAAAATGACTCTGGCAGTAACACCAAGGCTGCCAGTCCTACCACGGAAAACCATTAACTCTTGCTCCTTTGCAGTCCCAGGAAAGTGGGGAGCGACAAGTTACCCAGCAGCTCAGCCTTCGGGGATGCTCCTGGAGGAACCTGGGACCACCCCCCGCATCCCAGGACACAGGCGCCGGGCACCGCACACCCGCCAGCGGCCCCAACACGCGGGCAGGACCCCTCCCCACCAGCTGTCACTGGCGCCCGCGCCCCGTCACAGCCCGGCATGCCCGCCCCCTTCGGCAGCTCTCCGCGCCGCTACGACCCCGCGGGGGCGGCAGGGAGGGACGCTTTTTCCAAAGGCTCTGGGGCCCAGGGCATGCCCGCCCCCGGGCAGGGGCGCCAGGGTGGGCGCGGCCGGGAGCCCAGAGGGAGCTGCGGGTCCACCATCCCCCGCGAGAACGAAATGTGCCTCCCGGTCCCCAGCCCCGTGCGCCCACCTTGTCGCCGAAGCTGCGGGCCATCAGCAGGTCCGGGCTGGGCGTGCTGTCGCCGCCCACGGCCTCCTCGCTGCTGGAGCCGGCCAGCGGGTGCGGCATGTCGAGCAGCGAGTGGGGCCCGGTGGACGGCAGGCCCTTGGGGGGCCCGCCCGACATGGCGCGCACGGCTCGGGACGCGCCGCCGCCGCTTCCTCCAGTGCCCGCTGCGGCGGGCTCCCCCAGCGCCCGCGCCCAGGCCCCGCTCGGCCGCGGTCGATCGGAGGCCCTGCACCGGCCGGGCGGGGAGCCGCCGCCGCTGCCACCACCCGCCGGCTTGTCTCTGCCCGCGCGCGGCCGGGCCGGGCCGGGCTGCGCTGGGCTGTGCCGGGCTGCGCTGGGCTGCGCGGGGCTGGGCGGGGCTGGGCTGCTCCGCACCGCGTACCCCCTTCTCCGCGCCCGAGCCCGCCGCGGTTCGCTCGCACCTCGGCCGGGGGCGCCCGGCCCGCTCCGCCACGCCGCCCAGCCCGTTGGCGGCCCCGCCCCCGCGGCGCCTCGGCCCGCCCCCGAGGCGGGAGGAGGCGGGAGGGGAGGAGGACGGAGAGGCGCGCCTGAAGCCCCGCCCCCGCCCGCCGCCCGCCGCCCCGCAGGAAGTGCGCGCGGAGCCCTCGGCCGCTGTCCTCCGCGTGGCCGGCCTTGCCTGCGAGAGGCCGCCCTGGGGGGCGCGGCGCGTCGTCCCCAGACAAATGTTTAACGGAAATCAGCGGTGGGAAAAGACGTTGGAGCATCCTGTTCCATTCCACCTGCGTTTACCGAGGCGTCCGCGGCCGCCACGCGCGGGGCTGGGGGCTTTGGGGTCCGCACGTGGGTCGGGATCTTCTGGCCTCGAAGATAACCCAGAATGGAAGGAATTACGCCGCGTATTATAAGAATGGCATAAAAGGCTCTGGGGCGCAGAGGAGCTGGAGGACATGGGGTGGGGAACCTAGAAGGGAATTCAAGGAGGCAGTGGGAGGTTTCTTCCCAGGCGCGCCGAGATTCCCAGGCCATCTTGCTTTTGCAGTGGAGCCCGCTGTGTGTGAGGCTAACCTCAGTGAGCCTCAGAAAAGACAGGGAGCGCTACACATGATGTATGATTCAAACTCACACCTTCACCCTGGTGCCCTTTGGGAGAACTGTATTTTTCCCGCGTTTGTGCTTCCTTTCCAGGCCTTTGGCTGAGCTGAATTCTCATATTTATTTGTTAGAGTGGAGCTAGTCAAGGCGTTACGGGAGCTCTTGGGGGTGGCAATTCACCTCCTTTTCCCACCTTACCTGGTTCTCCAGCTTCTTTTCTTAGGACCAGGTCAGTAGAGGGCATCAGTCCGCACAAGCAAGGATGGCTTCTAGCAAAATAAAGGGCAGGGTGGCTCACTGTGAGGGTGTACTTTTCCTGTCGATTTCCAACCTCTTTAGGTCTGTCCAGTTTCACCTGACAAATTTTGAAGTTGGAATTCACCGTGTTCTCCGCCTCACCTTTATGGGCAAACAAGTTATACTTCAGCAAGAGGAGAATGCAGAGCGTTGAACCTGATCCAAAATATCGCTCAGAGACCCCCTGAGCTTCAAAGACTGTACCTTATTTCTCCTGGTGTAATTCGCTGGGCCTTAGTCCTCAAGTGATCATCTTCTCTCTCTCTCCCCCACATGGGTCTGCCTTGGTAGGGGAGAACAGGATTCAGAGGGCACTGGCAACTATTTTAAATGCTGCCTCTGTCTACCTCACAAGAAGTCTGGTCCTCCTAGAGGTGGGTAAAATTAATACTTTTATATTCAAGGGTTGCTTACGACTACTACGGACCCTATGAACTGTTCTAATTAGCATCAAAATAAATAGCACGGCTATAAGGAGAATCAGTGTTCTATAGATGGATAACACAGGTGTCTCTTACTGGATAGTGTTATTTATTTTAACAAGCCGGCCACTTTAACCTAACTGCTTACTTTATGAAGACTCCGCTCAGCTTTCTCCTCAGGTCACCAGGGAAGAGTGAAAAGAGAGCCACATTTGGACTCCTGCTAGTCACTACAAGTGTGTGACCATGAGCAAGTTACCTAACTAACCTTCACGAACCCGTTTCCTAACCTAGAAAGGAGGAGGGAACAGGTAGTAACAGCTGCATTGGTGGTGGCTGTGGAACAGCATATTCGGTAAGTAACGAGCAAAATGCTCATGTAAAAGAGACATTCCCTAAATGTTCATTCCCTTCCTCTCTGTCAGGTTTTCTCTGCTGTTGTTACAAAATGATAATCCTAGAGTTTTCATAACTGAACGTGCTGCACTCCAAACTCCTCTTTTTGTTTGGGTCGGACTGCCATTTTTCTGTGCTCCTATCAAAAACAAACAGCCCCCAGAAAACCAGAGTTCCTAAAAGGCCATATGAAAGAGTTTATTCATTTATTTTTCCCGTTTCCTGGTTGGTCAGTGGCATCTGGCCACAACGATCCGGAGGGCAGTCATCAAAACTAAAGAAAGTGAACTTCTATGGAAAACATTTTGGTATGAAGTTTCCACCATTCAAATTTAGCCCAGGACTGCCTACTCATACTCACCACTTCCTGTTGTATTTCAGTGTTCCTTGTGGTGGGAAATTGTCCCTGAAATAACGTTAAGTGTCCTAGAGTATGTAACTATGGCTCTACTGAAAGTTTTCAGAGCAACATGGTGGGAAGGAAGAAACGTGAAGTTTGTATATCTGAACAGAAGGTTGTAGTGTTTGTTGGAATTTCTGGAGGGAAGCTTGGATCTCTAGGGCTGAGCTGTGAGGAAGAATGAACTGGATGAGACGTGCCTGGGGATACCGGGGAGATGCCACCAGGACCTAAGAACGCAGGATGCGGTGGGCCTTCCACCACCCAAAGGGAATCTTAGGCGCTTAGGCAGGCACCTTTCAGGAAACAGGGCCTCGGACCCCAGAATTCGGTAAGTTTGCCAAGCTGGAATCCTGTAAACCTCACTAGCAAGTCTGTCAGGGCTTTCCATGAGCACCCAGACTGCGGACCTCAGAAACAAAGCAGAGTTCCCAACAAAGCGTTCCCTCTTTCTCTCCCCTGGTACAGCATGTGCTTAGGCCTTATTCATGTTTGTGTTAGCTGCTTATCCTCTCCTGGTTTTTAATACAATCGTAGCTTTATTTTATATGGCATCCCAAAGCTTGCCTCAGAATAACACCACCACTTCTGAAGTGGACGGCTGAGGAGGACAAAGGAGGTTTTCAAAGAGCTTTCAGAGTGACATGTAGAAAGCCACAGAAGGCTGTCTCAAACAAGAGGGGCCACTGAGAAGACCCCATCGCCAACACAGGCAAAATTGTGTGGACAGTTTAATTCAGCCAGTGATGTCCCAGGAAAAAGCGAGGGCCAGCAGGTCCACTTGAGGCCAGGATCTGAAGAATTTTGCAAACAAGAAATTGGACCTTGCCCCAGAATAGGAGAGAGGCTTGTGGGTAGTGATAGGATCACTTTATACTTCCATATCAAAACTCCTGGCCTCAAAAGCATACAGACCCTCTGGCAGTGGATAATGCAACACAGACTGTGGAGTCGGTGCCCCAGATCCACCTGTGAATTTGTCAAAAGGCAAATTTTTGGACCCCACCCAAGAGATTCCAATTCCAGGCTGGGCCTGGAACTGACATTTTTCCACAAACCCTGAGGTAACACGGATACTGGTCTATACGCTGTACTCCCAGAGACACTCTCTGAGCTCCACCCCTCGCTCTAAACCCTAAGATGACATTCCAAACCACCTTTGACAAACAGCATTCTTAAAGTGCTTGCTTTGGAGAAATTTCCTGTTTGCTGAAAAGTTTCTTAAAAGACAGATTTCTCTTAACAAAATTCTATCACAGGGAACTTCTGCCCTGTCTATGGTTCCTTTTCTGGAGCATCTACCAGGCACTTAAAACTGGGGAGAAGAGCGTAGATGAACAAAACCATCTATTGACAGATTCATTTCATAGCTCTGTGACATGCCTCCCCATGGAGTGGGTATTTTTCAGAGCCCCCACCCCCTCCAATGTTCTCTGAATGGCCCTGCAAACTCCGAGGAACTGGACTTCATCCAGCCCTAGCAATGTCATCCACCACCCTCACAAGTGGTACCTGCTACCCGGCCTTCTTCACAAGCAGGCTCTGGGGGGCAGGGTTGTGCGTAAGCTTCTATGGAGGCTACCGGTAGACAGTGTGAGCTGGAGAAGAAACCAAGATGACCAGTCCTGGCATTGAATCTCATTAGCCGTGAAAGGAAGGAAAACCTATTTTCTGACTGTGTACTCCAGGATAGTTTTTGGTTTCATCACCGGGCATGCCCCTTAAAAGGCCATCTAGAAGGTAAACACCCAGACATCCTATGACCCAGGAGTTCCACTCCCAGAACACAACAGAAATGCGTGTATGTATTCATCAAAAGATGAGATTTGAGACTTTCCACAGCGGCGCTCTTTGGAAGAGCCCACACTAAAAACTGTCAGCAGTGGTATAGTCACTCAAGGGAATGTTAGAGGGCAAGGACAGTGGAGGAACAGAATGGTGAGTGAATCTCACGAACACAGGTTTTAAAAAAATCCTATGATGGGGCGCCTGGGTGGCTCAGTTGGTTAAGCGGCTGCCTTCGGCTCGGGTCATGATTCCAGGGTCCTGGGATCGAGCCCCGCATCAGGCTCCCTGCTCAGCGGAGAGCCTGCTTCTCTCTCTCCCTCTGTCTGCCGCTCTGCTTACTTGTGCTCTCTCTCTAGCTGTCTGTCAAATAAATAAATAAAATATTTTTTAAAAAATCCCTATGCCTTAGGGAGATGGAGAGGAGATGGGAGTTGAGGGAAATTGGAAGGGGAGGTGAACCATGAGAGACTATGGACTCTGAAAAACAACCTGAGGGTTTTGAAGGGGCCGGGGGTGGGAGGTTGGGGGAGCCAGGTGGTGGGTATTAAGGAGGCCACGTATTGCATGGAGCACTGGGTGTGGTGCAAAAAACAATGAATTCTGTTATGCCGAAAAGAAATTTTAAAAAATCCCTATGCCTAAGGTGGGGAAGGGGGGTGGCAGGGAGGAGTTTGGGGAGGGATTAAACTCATGACCCCGAGATCTAGAGCTAATGTTTTACTGACGGAGCCATCCAGGTGCCCCTCATGAACACAATGCTGAATGAAAGAAGCCTATCTATCAAATAAATAAATACAATCTTTAAAAAAAAAAAAAGCCAGATACAAAAGAGAGTCTACTCGGGGTGCCTGGGTGGCTCAGTGAGTCCAGCGTCCCACTCTTGATCTCAGC